AGAGAGAGAGAGAGAGAGAGAGAGAGAGAGAGAGAGAGAGAGAGAGAGAGAGAGAGAACGCCAAAGCAGAGAGGGATTAGGGGTTTTGTAATCCTTTTGTAAGTTTTAAAAGTAATCAGCTTAAGTCATCTTCTTCTATCCTTGAATCAGAATAGAACAAAAAGCTCCTCACGAACAAGCTTCCTGTTACAAGAACACAAAAAAAAAGAATCAAGGGATTAATCGAGAGCTTTCATCGTAGCCGAGTAATAGAGATAAAGAAAAAGAGAGAGGGGGAGGGGGTTGAATCCAGAGAGGTTGATTATCACGATTCAAGGGTTGAATCAAAGAGAGAGCGTTGTTGCGCGCGTGACGGTGGTGGTTGCGACTCCGGTGAAGACAGAACCGGCGAAGATGGATCTAAGAAGCGATGGTGGTGGAGGTGGTGACGAGCGACGGTGTTACTTTCACTGCAACTCCGAGCTCATTCGTGGCTTCAGCTCCTTCTCCACTAATATTCTTCAATCTCAATTTGAGAAGAATCCAAATCAAGTTAGCAACACATACAATAACAAAAGAAAATTTTTACCAGAACCAAAATTTTGGTGCCAAATGTGATTTTTCTCTAAGTATTTGGCGCCCCTAAATGTTACAAAGATAAAAAATTAGGTTTTTGACTTTTCCCTTCATAAAAATTCTGTAAAATATTGTATAGCCCTGATTTAATGCTATGATAGAGTGAGACATTCCAACAAACCACTTTTAATAGCAGTTTGTAAATTCGTGCTATCGTGATATGCTACCAATACCCATATTTCTTGTAGTGAATGGGGCTTTGATAGATTCCGTTTAGGGGCTTTGATTGATTCCGATTACGGGTTTATGTTTGATTAAGGAGTAGTTGTTAGTTTATGTGAAAGATTAGGAGTTGTTGTTAGAGCATATGTTTGATTCCTGAAAGAGCTTATGTTAGAATCTTGTTATCTTATGGTTGTCTGATGTATACTTTTTCACAGTATTGCAGGTTAGATAATGGATCCTAATGAAGAGAGGAGATCTATGAAGGCGAATAAGGCTCTCTACGATAGCCTACATTTTGTTACAGACTCAATGCAAGGTATTCAAGAAAGGTGTGTATGTGGAGAACGCTTAGTGCGCGAGAGAGCTCCAACAGAAGTCTTTGACTACCTACCAAGGAAGAGGTTCTTCACATGCAAGAAGTACAAAGTAAGTTTGAAACTTGCAATTATTTGTGGGTAAATATTTAATCAGACTTGCTTATATTTCTGTCAGTCTAGGTTTGTTACAATATTTAATCAGACTTGTTTTATTTCTGTAGGATGATGGAATGCATTACAGGCAGCCCTGGATCTGTGCAGTCGAGGAAGAGCTAGGGATCTTGAAAACACGGCCGGAATCACTTGAAAAGCATAAATCCATGGTGGTAAAGCTGGAAGTCGAGAATCAGGAGCTGAAGGCAGAGGTGGAGAAGCTTATAGCCCGAGTGTCTGAGCTTGAGTATGCAGCATAAAGGTTAGTTGCCTTCTATCTTTCTACTGCATTGGTCTTTAAAACTGATCACTGCATTGACTTGATTGAAAACTTGAAAACTTTAGTTTAAAAACTCAACTTGAAAATTTTAGTTAAAGCTGCATTGATTGGAAACTGCATCGATTGGTCTTTAGTTACAAAACTCAACTTGAACACTTTAGTTAAAAACGCTAGTTGAAAACTAATGTTAAAAAAACTTAAGTTCAAAACATAAAAGCTATCTGCATTGACTTGATTGGTCTTTAAAGCTATACGTTCACTTGCATAGGATTATGTTAGACATTAAATAAACCATTTACTAAAGAATCCTAGTTAAATAGAGCCACAGATCAATAGAAACACCACACTTAAACGAACCAAAACCCATAAACTTGGCAAATGGCTTCGTAATCCCCAGGGTTTGTTAGTCTATTAACCAGCCAAACCGGAGACTCTAGCAGTCAAGGGTTTTTGAACCTGGACTCACCGGATTTTCCAGCCTTTAGTAGCCACAGTTCAGAAGCTGAAACTGTCAAGGAGAGGAGGAAATGGTCTCTGAAGGAGAATGTTATCCTTATCTCTGTATGGCTCAACACAAGCAAGGACCCAATTGTTGGTAATGAGCAGAAGTGTGGTACTTTTTGGAGAAGGATCCAGGAATACTACAATGCAAGTGCTCAGCCTGCTGGGTTGGACCCAAGGGAGCTAAGTCATTGCAAGCAAAGGTGGGGAAGACTTAATGACCTAGTCTGAAAATTCTGTGGTTGCTATGATGTGGCTTTGAGGGAACAATCAAGTGGTCGGAAAGATAATGATGTGATGAAGAAAGCACTTGACACGTTCTGCAATGACTACGGCTGTAAGTTCACCGTAGAGCATGCTTGGAGAGAGCTCATGCATGACCAGAAATGGAGCTCTGTGTATCATGGTAAGGATGATGCTAAAGAGAAGCGGAAGAGTGTTGGTAGTGCAGTTGAAGGCGAAGAGGAGGATACTTGTGGTAGGTCTCCGGGTATCAAGGCTGCTAAAGCGGCTAAGAAAAAGAAAGGTGGTCAAGAGGAGTCCTTAATAATAGAGTTAAAAACGGTGTTGGAGCTGAAAGATA